ATGATTTTTTTTTTTTCCTCTTGAAATCTCTGAACCAAAGGTAAGTTTGATATGTCTTGAGGATTTGTCTTATAATAGACAGGCTTACAATTTAGGAAAAGCTGTTTCTTCTTGCAGTACAAGACAAATGACTGCTTTATTAATTTAGTTAATTAGGCCAGACATAAATAAAACATGTGGGTATCAGACCCCTATATGCAGCTTTACTTTGTTTGCTGCATGCCTGGTGGAGGTCATTGTCACTTATTATCTTTACACTTCGCTTGACAAATGCTCTCCTGCACATTGAACACTGCTCCTAGAGACAGCAGGGAACTACAGTAAGTCCAGGCGAAGTCAAGAAGCCCCCTAGATCTTAATTATAAAACCATAAAAGAAACCAACTGCCTCTGAAGCTCTCTTACCAGGAAACAAATGAGAATGGGAAATTTATTTCCAACCATAAATCCCAAACCTTTCAGTTTAATTTTTCCCAAGTTAACTTTCTCACCTAGCTAAGCAGCACTGCCTTCTATTATTAGCTTCTGGCCCAATATCAGCTGACCACCATCAGTCAAACTGTCTTCATCTCAATGAGCTCAGGGACTCCCAAGGAACCCTGTGTATGCAGACTTGTGCTTGCAGCCTCTAATTATTTTCTAACAGATAATGGAGCATTTAAGTTCAGAGAGGATAGATTAAAGTTGTAAGTGGATCAAAACCCTGGACAACAGAATCACAGCTCACAGGATTACTTCCTGGAAACACCAAGCTTAGAGGGCTAGAGAGGAAAGGCCCTCATCAATTGTCTGTTTCCCCAGAACATGTTAGTTTAAAGTTTGGGTGGGTTTTTTTTCTTTTTTTTTAGCCTCAAAGACAGTTTGCTAGTCTTTCCAACTGCAGCATGACTTTGGAATGTATTACATTTCAGTTGAGCATCTGGTTTGATGTTAAACCATCTGATCAGGCCAATGGCTACTTGACTTATCAGACAATCATAACAGTCAAATAATTTGAGGTTTAAGAGGGGAAATTGTTTTCACAAGTGAAATTATAAGTCCCTGTTCTACTACCAAGTAACCTCTTAGCTGTATATTTGCCTTTTTTCCTCACAACAAGCCTCTCTTCCCTCCCCAAAACTCAGGACCCTCATATATTCTGTTACCAGCCTTAGGGTGAGGAGCAGGATATCCTTCCCTCCTGATACCCCCTGCGTCCGCTGGTGACTCCCCTCCCAGACACACCTGCAGGCAGAGCAGTAGCAAGAACACCTGCACTCTGAATTCAAATTCCAGAGCCTTTCTGGTGGATGATGAAGTGTGACCAGCCAAGCAGGGAGGAGAAACTACGCCCCACAACTTAAGCACCTAACTGTTTCAACACCTGAGGGGAAATTCTTCAGGCTGTGAAATTATTCCAGAGGTAACACATATTCAGAAATAGGTGGAAAAAAGGTAAACCTACATTTTACAAAACAGTAGCAACAACCTCTGTGGAGTGAAAACAAATCCATGGAAGTCCACATGTACATTCTGCTTCTGCCCTGGAGAAGGCAGTATGGGTTACTTAGTAGACTTCAGCTTGCACTGTTGTAACAGACATGGACTACTGCAGTGATGAAAACTATGTAAGAAAGCAGGGAGCAGAGTAAAAGAAAAAGAGCTAGCTGGGAATGTGTAGAGAAAGCCCAGAAAATAGACTCTGCTGCAACTCCTTGAAGAAAAATTCTAAATAAGGGATGTACTTTTTGATGACGGCCAATTCATCATCCCCTGATGGGAGGAGGGTGGGAGGTGTTTGGCCATAGCAGGTGCTAACATCATGCATTATATCATTACAGTCATTACAGATCCATTAGTGGGTGTTCAAGGTGCTGAAATGACAGCCCAGTAGCCAAATTGTTGTTCTTTACTCTTTTAGCATAACATTTAGCAGAATTTCAGGAGCTTGCAGGGCACTTTTAGACTTACATTCTGCCAACACTAGAAGTTTTAACCAGGGCCTATGGACAATGCCACTAAGATTTATACCAGCTATTTCTGTAGACACTGAAGTGTCCCAAGTACTCTCTCTGTACACAAACTGCTGTTTACAAGAGGCTCTACATTTTCCAGAGCCTCTCTAAAAGGAATGCTAAGTTTTACTTGCAAGTACAAGGACATACACAATTGAGTAAGAAGTAATTGCTGACAAAAGCACACCTGAACTTGACAAGTAAAAAAAAATGAAAGTCAAGGGTGTGACTCATATAATGACACCTCCTTCCCACTAACCTTTTCCCATTCATAACCAACATTTCAGACACTTATTTAAGAGTTAACCCCCACTATGTTATAATGGCACTTAGTCACCTATATACCTTTAAAAATTCTGATACAACTGCTTTTATCCAACAACTATTCATAATAGTCTTTTTACTGAAAACACAACTGATGCATTTTGCTTTCATATGTACACTTAAATTTTCCTCATAAAGTAACACCAGTAAACCGTATTAAGTTTTATCAGGATAGTTATACTGACCAAAGCCTTGGACTGAGAATGAGATTTTTCTATGATAACTTACTCTTTAATGAAAGATATTTAAGTTACCTCCTCATAGTGGCTTAAAATTTTAAAAAGTTAAAAACTATGTCCTTTCTCAGACAGAGAGGAGCGGTCACATCAAACCCATAAACAATGCCTAGGTCATTATCTTTAAAAATGTGGCTTGTTTCAGGAAATAAAGAACTGGGTTAGGAGGTGAGGATGGCAGGAACAGCTGTATGATTGCATGAGCAATTATTTCAAAAGAATGAAATTAAATCTTCTTCTTCATCAATGCAGTACAGCAAAGGATGTTACAGACCGCTGCACATCTATCACGCATTGATGCAGCATTGATACAAAACATCTTATTTCTCCTTATTGTCACTTATATCAACTAATGATGTAGTCCAATTCTTTTTTATTATGCTTAAAAATAACTTTAGGTTATTATTAACCTCTAGGACTCAAAATAACCTTCACTTTCCTCTCACCTTGTTACCACTGGGTCAGAGACTCATGAGAAACTGTTATTTTAAAGGGAAACCTTTCCTAGTGTGGCTGTACCTTACACAGTTAAAATCTGTAGTTTCAAAAAAACCTTCATAATTTCTGAGCCATTTATCAGACTTTACGATGCATACACTGGAGGGAAATGTGGTCCAGTGAATTAAGGCAGCTGATCAAGCTGAGCTATGAAACCTCAGACAAGTAACTTTGTCTTTTAACAGGGACCTTATGTTTCCTTTGTAGAACACTTCAAGGTTCATCAGTGTCAAAGAAGGAGATACTACTATTATTTCTCTATCGGATAAAGGCTTGGATCTTCAGCTGGTGCAAGTTGCTCAGTTCCACTGACTTTCATACAGTGATAACAACTCCCTCATCTTGAGGCTGGAATCTACATCGCTGACTGCTGGCATCAGACATGGACCACAGATCGCATTCAGTGCCCTTGCTCTCCCTGCACATTCACTTCAAAAGGGTGCTGAATACCAGCTCTCGTCTTTCTGGAGCTCCACCATTAACAATACTCTTGACCATTATTTTGTTCATTAAGCAAACATCTAATACTCTTTATCCCTTTAGTGCAATTCATTCCTTTTGAACAGGGCGAAAACGGCCCTTTTTTTTAATTATTTGTGCACAATGATTATTGAATGTCATCAACATAAATGTGCAGTGCTCTGTAAAAAGCACAGGAAATCCCTTCATCTATACAGCATTTGTTCAATTGCCTAAGAACTCACATGTGATAATTTGTGTGAAACAGCTAAATCCATAACTGTACATTTCTATTCATTTCTAGATGGAAGAACAGTCTATATAATGGGAGTACATTCTCCTTGTGGTTTACAATCTCGTTAATGCTAACCAAATTAAGCCTATACACTGAACAGATCTTCAAAGCTTAAAAGTCCTATGTAATTTTCAAGTTCAGAAGAGGGATTTACACAAAAGTGCAAATGTCTATGATTTGTCAAAAAATTGTCACTGAATAGGACATACACATTCACACTGTCAATGAGGCTTGATCTTGGCACATAGCTAAAAACTGAGTGCATAGTCTCTGTGAACATAGAATGTTCATGAAAAATATGATCTTGACCTCTTAGTAACAGTATTTCAGATTAGTAAAGCAAAAGGGCTTTTAAAATCCAACATACTTAAATTTTCTTTCCCCTCCCTGTTATGCTTTGCTGCTGCTGACAGCTCCCCGACTCTCAGTGCTTAGTTCTCAGGAACACTGAAGCAGAAGAGAGCTGAGGCTAAATTTCCATTCCTGTGAGTTCTGCACCAGCGGAGACTTGCATACATGGTAAGATGTTCCCCTGCAACTCCTTCTCTCTCTTGTCTCTAGCTTCTCTGCCATGGAAAGATAAAACACCTGGCACATGAGACAGAGGAGTATCAGCCTTCCAGTGATGGGAAGACCATTTATAAGAAAACTCCAGGCACCTTAAGGTCCATGATACTTGCACAGTGAAAAACCCAGCCCTTCATTACCCTGATACCCCAGGCACTTACAGTTCTGGAATGGAATCATCTACATGCAATAAACTAAACAGGGCAGAGCATTGCCTCATACAGATCTGCCTAGCTCTACAGCTTCAGAGAAGCAGCACTGACCTACTCGCAGCTGAGGTGGAACCTTGTTTGGTTTTTTTTGGATGGTTGGTTTTGTTTGTTTGTTTGAACATTGCTGCAATAGAGAATGCTATAGATATGCATTAACACTGAGACAGCTTGTCAAAGACCAAGGGAAGGAGGCAAATGGCCTATGCAAAATCTCAGCAGCTGAATTTTTCTAGGGACAGGATATTGTAGCACTCGCTGAACATCAGCACGATATCCATCCTGTGTACAAGCCTCCTCCTCCTATTTAAATATAAGGAAAAAAACCTGGCAGAAATTCCTCTTTGCAATCTCTGTGGACTACAGAAGGATGTGCCCCCGCCCCAACACTCAAGAGACGCTGATCATCTCTTACTTACATCCATAAACTCCACGTTGGCTTTTGGACCAGTGGTCTCATTAAGGATCTTAATGGCCACAGGAATCTTTACAGTTTCTCCCTCGGGGACCCAAATGCCCTAGAAAGATAAAAGAAAAGTGACATTAAGACAACAATCATAGAAACTTCATTCAGAGTTACAGTTCTTTTTGATGCATTTTGTCACATTATGCAGTTCAGTTATGAACCTCAGAACTGGGAATACACAAAGTTATAAAATAATAAAAATTCCACAAAACTACTTCTTAATTGATATCTGAGACACCTAAAAAGTAAACTTTAAAATTCACAAACTGTGTGTCTCTTGGGCTACTCTTCCATCCTTCTTGACTATTGCTGTGTTCTTGGCAATCTCATGGTACCCATCTCTATCGATTTATTATTGTCTAAGTATATTCAAACTGATTATTCAAAAATGTATTCCTGTGACCTTGTAGCTGTAGCAACCTGGTCTGTACTTCCTCCATTTCCTCCCCAGTTTGAAGACAGATGCAGTATCTGTCCTCTTCCACTGCTCTGACCTACCACCTCGATTTGGCAGGTTTGCATTGCTTCCAAAGAGTGGGGTGATTGGTTTGACTTGCTCATTAAGCCCTAGTTCATGCCTTTGAGATTTGGACATAAACATCAGACCTCTTGCATGCAAGGATGCTTGTGGCTGACACTCCTTTTCTCACCAAGAAATAATATCTGCATATCTGATTAAAACTAAAGTTAATGGTTGAGCCTGAAGGTGTGCTCCTCCCACACAATTCCAATAGCCTATGAGTTTCCCAGACATGTAGGGCTCATGAACCTACCCACAGTATGGGATGCTTTGCTGTAATGCAGAACTTGACGGTTCAAAAGTTAAAAGAGGGAACTCGCTGCTCTGTGTTGAAGACTCTTACCTTGTATACAGTTCCAAAGGCTCCAGAGCCAAGAACCTTGACTCTTTTCAGCTCAGTTTCCTTCAGGATACGAAGCTGTGCTTGGTTGGGTGCTGTGCCACTTGGAGTTAAGGGTTCCACGAGCTATGAAGGAAAATCCAACAGTTTTTAAATATTTGACAAATGTGAAGGCCCATCAGTTTATACTGAAAACAACCAATCCAACTAAATACTGGAATAAGACAGTGCTGGGGCCTATTGACCACTGATTGACCTGCCAACTTGTAGAGGGATTTCTCACCTTCAAAAGCAGATGAGCAATGCTAAGAAACCAAGGAATCTAATACAGAAAATCCTCACTCAACATGTAGTAATTTCCACCAGGAATTGCATGATGGAATTACGAACTGGAAATTGAGTTGGTGTCACAATAACACACCCAAGGACTTTTGCTAATGGAGGCAGTATAAATATTTTCTACATGACAGAAATACAGCATTTATTATCAGTGTACCACATTCTATTTTTGCCCATTTTAGTGCCTTTTAAGTTGGCCATATTTCTTTTTAATAGCCCTGACTTAATGGCTCATCACGTTCTTATTCTGTTTTGGGGAAGGGACTATTTTTCTGAACTTCTGTTATACCACACAGGAGGACAGCTTTAAGGAGAAAACATCTTATAGCACACCACTAATTTATAACAGCCGTTAATTTACTGCAAAAAAGGCACAATGAAACAATTTGGTCAAGATGTCCCAAGAAACTTTCTAAATGAGTCACAATGGCACATTCAGTTAAAAATGCTCTCAGATCTCAACGTTGTACCATCTCTGCCAGAAAAAACAATGCTTCTTTAAAAATAAATTAAAAATATACGAAAAGGACAATACTCTAAACAATGAAAAGTAGTCTATTCCTTTACAGGATGAGGAAAATAATTCAGGGCTACTCCTACTCAAATTGGTTTGAAACCACTGCAGTATTTCAAAGTTGTCGGTTTACAAGGCTAAATGCACAATGCTCTACAGCTTGAGAACTACTTCTATGGCTCTTTGAGCATCATGAACTACTTAATTAGCTGACCAGACTACTTTGGTTCAGGTAGAAAATACTGGTATCTGGAAATTATCGGAGTAAGAAAACGTAACAAAACCAAACAGCCACAAGTCAGGTTATCACAGAAATAATTTGTGAGCTGTACTTTTTTTAGAGCGATTTCTCTTTCCTCCTTCCCACTTTAGATGTCCAGTACTCACATGGTGAAAGAAAGAAAGAAGGTTTACTGGAAAAGAAAAGTAGACAGACTGGTGGTACACTTCTGTGTTTTCAGTTTGTGAAGGGTGAAAACAGCTTCTGTGCCACAGTCCACCAACACAGGTATGGCAGGGAGAAGCGTTGTGGGCTTCTAAAAAAGTCCTTGTAGAGTTTTACTAATAATGACCTACGGTAAGATCAGGTCTGTTATAGCCTTCAGCTAAAAACAGAGACTTTAGCTGAAGCTATAGTTGCTGTGTGTTTATCTCAGGATGCTCCTGATCTAATCTTCAGTATCTAAGCCAAGACAACAGCTTCACCGCATGTTCAGTAGGAGACCTTGGTCCCTCAGGAACTGCTGTCAGCCACATCTTCTATCTGACCAAATGGAGAATGAAAGCTGGACTTCAAAGCCAATACTTCTCAAATCCAATGAAAACTACCTGCTTAAAATCATTTATGCTCAAGTAGGGGCTAATACAATGGCAAGATTTACGTATCTAAAGGCACTGAGTACTGTTAAGCTTTCTATACAACTCAACAGTATTTAAGAAGCAACACAAATTTTAGCCAAGCATAAAGATACTTGGGCAAACAGATGGGGATGCATGCATCATTTGCTCCCCAGTGGAGATGAGTGGGAGCAGGACCCTTTGAACAGAACAGAAAACAGCACTGTCAAAGAATCACTACCTAACAATATTCCCAGGCTTTATTACAAGGGGGACCCTAATTTAAAAATATCATCACTTGCAAAGTGTCTTAAGCATAGGACTGAGGAGATGGTAGTAATCTCCTTTGCTGTAGCTGACAGATAAGATTTAATGTTATGTTTAAATATACTTTCTAGATTGCACTCTCCACTACTGGCATTTCAAAGAGCAGGACGGAGTGGGCACAGCACTCCGTCCTATAGCTTCACTACGTATTTTTGCCAGTAGAACTGTAATAGTCATTTGGTTAAGCTCTGGGAAGTATCTTGGCTTAATAAAATACATCGTTATTACTGATCATGACTACAGACTTTGACAAAATCTGGACCACAAAGGCAATACAGGCACTGGGAACAACAGTAAGTAACAATCTCTGCATTTAAGCATTCCTGATGAGCTTAAGTTTGCACCAGAGCTTGCTGAACTTACTACAGTCTTAAAAGTTGACCTCAGTATGCACTGGATGAAAACCTGTAATATTTAAGCATGAGAGCTGCTAAATGTACTGAAGAACTGGGATAGAAGTTCAATTGAGAGCAGGATGGGAGTTCAAAAATCTGGTGGAACATGACTCTCTGATCACGTGGATCTTTTTTGGTCTTCAAAAGCCATGAATCTATGTATGTACAGAAAACGAGTATCTTGAAATAGCTTCAGTCATTCCATCAGTTCAGTCCTGCAGGAGTTAGCAGAAGGATTTCTACAGATCTCTCTGGTAACTTGAAGACCTGAACATCTTTAACATAAAAGCAGAACAGCTCTGTATATCTGTTCAAATATTCTGTAAGAAGCACACTCTCACCTCAGTCTCCAGAAATCTTCGCAATGCTCTCTTCTTTTTAATACTTTTGCGCCGAACATACACGGCAAACGTCAGGCCCACAATGACGATGATGAAGAGGCCACCAATAACTCCTGCAGCAATCAGGGGGGTTCTAGCAATCAGAATCAGAAACTTTATTTTTAGGTAGAGTGAGAGACCAAAGAATGTTTGGGTACATAAAACACAGTCACTTGGAAAGCTTATTGTTGTCTTATGACCAGAATTTCTAAGTCAGTCCAAATGGGAAATCAGGGGAAACACATTAACATATGGTATGACTTTTCTTGGTTTTAATCAATATACCAAGTCTACTTTTTCCAAACCACCATGCACATGTGAGGAGTCGTGTGGACAAGGAGATACAACATGCACTTTGATGGCAAACGCAAATCTGCAATGGCAAAATGAGGATACAGGTACCTGCATTTTTCCTGCAAGAGGTTTTTAACTATGCTTACTCTTTGGGTCCATCTAGATTAACTCATGGGCTTGTGCATTTAGGGGAAAACAAACTAAAGAAAAATTCCCAAACTACCAACACAATGTGCCTTCCTGAGTATAGAGGAAGTGAGAAGCAACTTCAAACATTGCGTTTCACAGACAAATCTGGAAGCATCATACTCATACACCTTCCACAAGTGGAGGATATTCATATATGAACAACGGAATTCATGACTAGAACCACTCACCCTCTTGAAACTCCTGGTTCATTACTATTACACAGAAACATTTTGGTCACGGTTATGGTTGCACCCATCTGGTTTTGCTGTGGCTTTTTAGCACAGCCAAATCCCAGACCAAAAGATGGGTGTGTTGGAGCCAAAAAATCCCTGTGAACTATGCAAAGCGAGGCTCAGCTTTTGCACATGACCTGTTGCTCCCCTGCTACTCCTGTAACTCCTTTCAGCTTTCCAGGATCTTGAGCAGCATGAGCTGCAATTACTAATTTGTTTTTCCATAGTGATAAGATACAGTAGGCTGGCATCACAGTAGATACTACACAAGCACAAAACAAAAAGACTGTCGTGGAAAGTCACTCTGTTTGACTCAGGTGCCCACATTTGGAGATCGCCTACACAGTGAGTGGAGAAAAGCAGGCTCCCTCCGAAGAAAAAGCCAAAGCAATAGGGGCTCTGACTCAGTTTTCTTTCTCTCTCTCCCTGCTCCGTCTCTAAAGGGTGGGTAGCAGCCTCCAAAACAAAACCTTAAATTAGGCGTTTTCACAGAATACCAACAACTTACTAGCATAAACACACTCACAACATTTAATATCCCTCCAACAATGGCTGGACAGTAGCTGAAAAGATGGGTAAAAAGAGACAGCATGACAACTGCAGAGTATAAATGGTGCCAAAACCACTGCCTGGTAACTACAGGGAACAGGTTAACTATTGTCAAGATTGTGGAAATATCACTGCTATGCTTTAACAGCCTTCCTCAGTTATGTCTGAATGATGATGAAAGATACATTACGGCCTATTAATAAAAATGTACCACACAGCTATTGAAAATTTAAAGGAGTCTCCCACAGAAATAGTAAATTGATTTATCTGACCCTTTATTCTTCTTTTTATATCCTACCACAAAGCTGAGCATTGGGAAGCAGTGCCATCAAACCTGGTTTGGTATATTAAGGTGTGTCTACATTACCACCGAGCACCGTTTTGAAACTCATCTCTGAACTGTCCTACCTGTCCCTTGTCACTGCAGTTCGGTTCAGAGAGGTGTCAAAGCACTGAACCTGGATTCATTTCAGATACCAGCCTGAAGATACGTTTCTGGAAGATACGTTCTCCAACCTCTAACTGTCATGAAGGTCCACAGGATCAAAATAGAGCTAACCCAAAGAAAAATCCCTCGCAGCAAACATAGCCTAGACATTGGGACCATTACCTATTTCATCCTCTAGATCCAATCCTATTGTGTCACTCACTTTATGTTAAGAGAGACAAAGCCTCATACTCCCACATCTAGTTATTAAAGCACTGTGTTTAAAGCACCACTATCATGTTTGCCCAGGGAAAACACATTAACGTTACACAAGACTCTAAGGCTTATTATAGTTCAAAGACTTTACAATAGAAACCATAAAGCCTGCAAATAAAGGAAACAATGTTGTCTGGCTGTGAAATGGATTATGATGTTTGAGAAGTACAAGTCTAGTACCACCTACATGGAGAGATTCTCCTCCTTCATCTAGTTTGGCCTTGAGACAAATTCCCCTTTCTAATCCCATTGGTTACTCTGCTGGTTTTGAGTGCAGAGCTCAGATTAAAGGACCTGGCATATCCACCCAAAACAATATTCCTCTTCATTTGCATGTGCTTTCCATGATGCTGATGCAAGAAACTCTTTAATAGGCAATTATGAAAAACACTGGACATCAAAAGACTTCTATGGAGCTAGTACTGACTAACATTCTTGAGCAGAGGAATTTATTTTTTTTTAATGCTGTATGAACAATCATATAATTTTTAACAAACACCACCAAACCACAGACTGACAAAACAGGCAGGAGATCTCTCAGCTTTAAAGTGCATATTAATAACTATCATAACAGCTGTCAAAATAAATAATTAGAGTTTTATGGTACTATGTATACTAAAAATAGTCCAAATAATATTTACATGATAGACCACAACAAGGAAACAGTTCCACAGGAGACATAATGACCAGTGAAGAAAATAAAATGAAGTTACAAATTCCTTGCAGCCCTTTTATTGTTATAGAGTACAGGGGTTCAAAATGAATCTTTATGATCCACTGTGTCCACTCTCATTGACTTTAAAAGAAAGTCCTCATCATTTTTAGTAGTGAATTGAAAAAAAGGAAATAATTTTCAAAAACTTCACCAAACAAGCATTTAGTCATTAACGTGAAATACGCTGTAATTGCATACAGCTTCTGAATGGTTTTGAATTTTCAGATTAACCATCTAAACACACTATTCAGCAAGCTTAAAAAGGGAGGGTAAGAGGAATAATATAACGTGAGGGGGAAAAAACATATTTAAAGGCTAAACAAATAACTTTAATACAGAAAAAGTTTTATTTTGAACTCAAATAGCCATCAGCTTCCTTCACTCACAAATCCACTATCCTTGCATAAAAATCATGACAAGCACAAACATCACAGACCTAAACGTATGTGATTGTATACCATACAGCTTCTCCTCACTCTGCTACTGAGCTAAGCCCCAAAGTCAACAATCATGTGTTTTATTTGCCACAATACAAATGACAAGTCACTGCCTTCAGTGCTTTCTGGTATCATCAGTGCAGTTCACTGTTGTTTCCAATCACACATAGATTGTTTTCTAAGCCCAGTTTTCTGGGTGTCACCTACCTCATTTGGGTTATTTTTACTTAAGTTCGCTAGGCTGAGTTTGCTTTTCTATCTATTCTGCTAACATCTTCAAGTCTCCTGTATCACTTCTCTACTATTTTCATGTTTGCAGTGTCTTATATTTAATACCCTGGTGAATTTCGTTAATATGCTGTTTACCTTTCTTTTACATAATTGTTAAGGTTGTTTAACATGGATCCCTGCAAGGTGGTGCTGACCAGAGATGCCACTGAAGGCACAAAACCTTTCTCCCATTTTGTTTTTTTAATCCAATCTTATTTTTGCATATGCACCTAACCAACAGTTCAGCTTCACATACAGCTGGACACACAAATCTCCTTATCTCTAGTGGCATTAACGGCTTAATCCACTTACATTTTTGTTACATTACTGTCCCACAACCACCTCTGTGAATGCAATCCACTACATTTGCCCACCTCAGACTACTGCCCATTAAAAACTAATTCCATGAAAGTTAACAGGAGCAGTGCTGATGCAGAGACAAAAATTTCACTACCAAAAAACCCCATTCTGTTATAGTCATTTTTAAAAGCATGGAGGCACCATTTCTCTGTTAGGACTCAGAAAGGCTCAAATCAAGCAAGGAGAGGTAGTTCCATGTCAATCCTGACTGTCCAGCATAAATAATGGACAGCCAAAAGTCAATCCTAGCTCCCACTTCTTTCAGCCCCGCTATGAACCCACCAACAGGAAACTCCTGATACAGCCACTACCTTCCTTTACACACTGAAAATCTACCGCAGACAGTGAAAAAACATCTCTGCTAGGTGCTTCTGGAATTTTATGGTCATCAAAATAGACCTAGCAGTCCACAAAATATGGCCCTGAATCATAACTCAGCCCCATACAATTAATTTGCCATGCCCCACCCCTCCCTCAGCTGAAGACAGAATACCCAATAAATGATTGGAAAAGGCGGCAGCAGGGGAGGCAGTGGGAGGGAAAAAAATCACAACATGTGAAAAATCCTGCCTTTTAAACTGGAAACTGTGTATCTGTGGCTAAAAGTTGAAAGTAAGATCCTAGTATTCCCCTAGGATAAATTAATAGTATCTATTTCTTTTTAAACGTGTACTGTGTTTTCATATTTAGAAGCACCTAACACCCATTCCCACGCACCAAAATTGAGACAAAAAGTTCAAAGTTAGTATTCTAAGATGGACAAGGATGCTCAACAGGGGGGCTCGTATCATTCCATCCACTCCAAAACATCAAAACATCTGCAATTCCCACAGTGCTTTGAGACCAGGTATTAAAGCCTAATTACTGATTTAGATGAGTACATGGTCTCATACACTTGACTGGAGAGTGCAGCAGAAGGGGAAAAGGAAATAGAATTGTGGTCCATGGAGTAAAGCTGAGAAAGAACACCCATTTTTCTGTCTTTGACATTAACCCACCTAATACGCTAGGCAAATAAATTGAGCTTTGAAGCTGAGCTGTTAGAGGGCTTTAAGTTCCTGCCTTTAAGTTCCCCACCTTCCCCTCCTTTCAGTTTTATCTATACATCCAAACAGGATTCATTACAACCTTGAATATTTGCTACACAATCACTTCTTCTAAATTTTTGTTATCAAAGCATTATTTTTTCCTGATGGACGATTCAAACATTCTGCATTCCTCATCCCTTCCATCAGTGGGGAGTGCAGCCGGCTTTGAAGATTCACTTTCAGAGATCTAATGGATTCTGCTAATCCTGGAACGATAATCTTAGTATTTAAAGTATGTAAGATAAACAACCAGATT